TTTCCCACACGGTTATATGTGATTCTTGCTTGGTTACCAGTGTTGGCTGTGGAGTTTCTGGCTCTCAGTATAGCTGTTGTGCGTTGCGCTGTCTCTTCGGGCTATTGCAAATGGATTCCTCATCTCTTCCGCCAAGTGAGACTGTGGAAGATAGCCAAATAGTTACCGCCTCCAACGGGTTCGTACCTGCAGACATGCAACGTGAAAAACATGCTATCAAAACCGGCTTCCGGACAATTCGCCTAGCAAAACAGTCAAATAATGAGCTCCTCATATCAATACCACAATGTGTATGGAAAAAACTTAACAAAGTTATAAAAAAGTTATAACTTAACTTATAAATCCTATAACTAAAGTTATGTTAACTTATTTATAACTTTCCCAACTCAATTTATAAATAACATAACTTAGTTATAACTAAAGAGTCTACATTGTAGGGGGTTCTGTAAAGGGCGTGACATGTCTGGCTGATGCTCAGCCATCAAGACTCCAGCAATACATGCGAACAGGGCCCCAGGGTTTTTGAGATTGCATCACCGTGTTCTTTTTTGGGACATTGATGGACATTGTGAGTCACATTCACTTAAAGATATTTAAAGTCTAGATTAAATCTTATTATTGATGAATTCATACACTGTACCAGATTTGTTTTGATTTGTTGGTTTTCGTTTGTCAGTACACGATTGTTTTGTACTAGGGGGTTCGGAAAATATGTTTTTTCAGGGATTAAAACCCCCTTCAATATTGTTGTCGAAAACAACTCCCCAATTGTCTGGTGATGTTGAATAACTATTCCAAATGTTCACCGAGCTCTACAATCCCACAAAAAAAAAATTGAACCGGGGGGGTCATTCTTGGAATGTCAACCCTGGATCAGGAAAGACCTGCTTCCACTTTGTAGATTTTCACCTTTGGGGGAAGCCAGGGTTTGTCAATCCCCAGGGTTCCCACGTTCCGAGGCTTGCACCAGTCGGCCAAACAAGGCATTCGTCCACGGGAGGCGGGACTCCGCAGATGACCAAGGTGGATTTCACCCAGAATGTGGGAGATCGGAAGATACCCATAGGATCCATGTATGCTATATATGGTAACATCTACCATCAATATACCCCCAATCTTAGCATATATACCATTGAAGAATTTATGGGAAAATGATGGAAAATGGGTATTACATCCATTATGAGATGGATGTCTTCAAACATGTGGTGATGTTCTCCCAACTCGTAGCCACCAAACAATTGGGAACGTGGTTTTCCTTGACAAATTCACCTTGGAACAACACAAACATATGGATGGGGCTACCCCATGAGCTGGATGGAGTTTATAATGGAAAATGCTAATATCACCTGGATGATTTGGGGGTAGCCCCATTTATGAAAACCTCATGACCTCAGCAACACTGGGTGTTCCTTATGTCATGCACGGCCTTGGAAAGTCAACCATCAATGCACTGGTAGTTCAGAGTGAGCCGTACCTTGGACAACTGTGTAGCTGCGGAGAGCATTTTTAAACAATCTACTTGGATCTACTTGGCCGTACCTTGCAGGCCAGTTTGAATTAGGAGGCGCCAGACTGGATCATCCTGACATCACCTTATGGCCAACTGCAGGGGCGGGCACTCGCATTTTTTTGCTCTTTCTGTTTTGTTGATTCCAATTTCCATCATCACGCAACCACCTTGACTAGTACCGCAACTACCTGTAACTACCTCATGTTCACATCTGAAAATGTAGATGGAACAACCCTAAAATGTTTTTGGAAGATGATTAATTGTAGACTTTGTACTAGGCTGTTCTAGTCTTAAGTCCCAACTGTGTGAATGGCCAAAAATATGTTTGGTGTTTTGGAGTTCCCATTCATTTTGTATCATTTTTTGGGGATGTAAAATCCATGGAAAAAATCACTTCAGGTCTTGTGGGGTGGGTCCTGTGACCGCAGACCTTCAGTGAAACGCACGCGAAGCACATCTTAGCCGCGCTTCCTCCGATCTCTCCGCACCTCGATACCTGATAGCTCGGAGAGTGGATGGGGTGGACACAGATAGAAATCTACGAGGTACGGGGGCCCCCTAAATCAATTGGTTTATATCATGACCTGTTCTTTTCTTGGTCTATAACTTGCTTAACCACAGTTTGTGGGGGATATGATAGTCCATAGTTAGTTTAAACCAACTTGTAACATTGCTCTGCGGCTCCACCATTCATTGGTAGTGATGAAAAATTACAACAACAGATTTGACATGAAATTCCACTATATCAACTCCTAAAAGGATAGAAAAGTGATTTATTAATATTTATTATCACTATGTCAGTAGGAATTTACCAACTATCTTTTTTGGGGGATGCCTTTTATCACGGCAGAATCCAGTCCGTTGTACTTTGAGAGTCCAACCAAGGTGGTAAGATGAAGAACCTGGAGGAAGTGAAAGCATTTTTGTTGAGTCCAAAAATAACTTCCCAGTTGATCAATGTCGATCAGATTGGTTGGGCTTGGCACATTGTGTACCCTCTGGTTATGTCAAAATAGCTATTGAAAATGGCCATTTATAGATGGTTTACCCATTAAAAATGGTGATTTTCCATAGTTATGTTAAATTACCAGAGGGTAACAGAACAGAGTGCTGATCTTTTTTCACTTTGGAAAGAAAAACCAACGCGCTAGTCACTGCCGTTTAGCCGCCTCGACGCGTCCAACGACGCGTCTGACACGTCAGTGATGTCAGGCCGTTTCACCTCGGGTTTCACCAAAACTGCTTGCCGCAGCTGCAAAAATGGAAGCATCGTTGAGCATCCAGAAATGCCCCGGTGTGTTGAAGGTGATGATTGGTGTTCACAATGTGAAACCGCACCATTTGGGGAATCTATACCTTTCCTTTTTTGAGGGGGGTTCTTAAGCAAATACAAGACTTGGTTAACGGGGTTAGGAGTGCGAAGGAGAAGTTTTAGAAGGTTATGGAGTGAAGATGTTGATGACAGGTTTGGTGGTGTAATTCATGTTTCCTTCTGAAAATGGATTGAGGATCCCTCAGACTTTTTGGATTGTCCAGTAATGTCAACCCTGGAGTAATAGACCCTACAGTAGGCAGTTTTAGATAATGTTCTATGGTTTCTCCCCATCACCCCATCTATGGAATCTATGGTTGATATCTGGCTATGGATCAATACCTATATAAATACATATTTTTAGTGGGTTATTCACATCCATAAATCCCAGCTATTTTGATGTGAACTACAGGGTCACCTCCATGTTGATATCGCATCTGACAGCAGCTGTTGATTTCAACCGACGTGACGCGCCGAGTCAACGACGGACGTTTCGACCATGGCTCGCGCCAATTCCCCCGTCCTCGGCTTTGCCTGCGTGGCACTGGTGATTTGCAGTATCAAGGTGAGAGGGTCCTTGAGTCCTTGAGATAAGTTTGGAAGAAGGTGGCGTTCACATTGTCACATGATTTCACCATATTTCACCATGTAAATTGGACACTCCAATGGGATTTCATGGGATTTCGGAGTTTTGACATCGTTTCGTGGGTCAGAAAAATCCCATGGTCTTTCTGGCCCCAAAAATGCCAGGTGATGTGCCCCAGTTTCGTGGCTCCCCGGCCTGTCCAGCCAGGGATCCCAGCGCCCCAGTGAGCTAAATCGCGATTGGTTACGGTGCGTTTAGAAGTCCAATTTCACGATTTGGTTTTTTGGTGATCCAATTAACTCTAGATACTAAGTATATCATGATATATCATTATATCATGATAGTTTTTTGGTGATATATCATCTGGGTAAATTTCATCATGACCTCACTGTTCTCCCGAACCCTGGAAATCATGGTTAGGATTTGGGGAATCATCCCCCAAATGGCCTTGATTAATTCAGGTTAGTGAAATATTATAATTTGCCCAGATAATTGGGATATCCATAGGAAATCATATAATGTATATCATGATATAATGATATATGATATATCATGATATACTTAGTATCTAGAGTTAATTGGATTATAATGCCATTTGTAAGCCATGAAAATAACTGGGAGAGGCACCGCCTTGATCGTTTGGTAAATGAAGATAACTAACAGAAAGTATTGAGTGAAATCTCCGGCCTCATTGATGAATTTATCTTGGAGAATTCACCACTTGTTTGGGTAAATCAATTATAAATGGAACATGTTCAAGAGCTATCTTAAATTACCAATGGGTATACGTGTATATATATATATGATGTTTATTATGAGAGAGAAGAGTAGGTTCATTAGATATGTCATATCATGAAAAGTAAAGAACACTGGCTTAATATTGCATACTATTACACTAATTATACGATTCATAAATTGTACTTCAATCATCGTTTTAGTATGGGATGATGATATACTCTTACTACCCTGACGATCCATGCATGTGCATAGGGACAGTTCGGAAATGCACATAGTGATCGTGAGGGATTTTTATTGTTCCATCATAGTTCAGAATGGACATTGATTGATGATTTCATTGGAACATTTTTTATTTTTCCATATATTTGGAATGTCATGATCCCAACTGACGAACTCATATTTTTCAGAGGGGTTGAAACCACCAAGCAGTAATATGTTCCATTCAAATATACTCAACACATTTGTAGATCATTCTCATGTAGCATATATGTCTAAATATGTCACATATAAATCTACGATTCTACGTGTATCGATGATGTTATCACAGAGGATGAATCCAAGAAACCCCAATGACTTACCAGAAATGGCGGTTGTTTCACCATTCCCAAGGTGAAACATGGTGAAACCAGAGGTCCAAGTAGTTCGCTCTTGTTTGCTGAAGGTCTTTTCTGTATTTTTCTGTATGTTGACCTATTTTAAACACAAACGAATCGGACTAGTCGTCGCCATAATTGCTGATGAACAACATCTGGTGGAAAAAGTTGATCAACTAGTTGTGAATACAGTCAAAGATCATCTTGAACTGGAAAATATGATGTGTGATTTTCTGAGTGTATACCTGGTTGGTGGTTTCAAACATTTTTTTAATTTTCCATAATATATGGGAATAATCATCCCAAGTGACTAATATTATTCAAGATGGTTAAAACCACCAACCAGATATTTATATATAAATATATAATTATATATATAATTATATATAAACTATATATATACACAAAGGTGAGGCCCCCAGGCATTCATTGGTTTGTAATCCCATCCAGATACTGTTGAGACTCCAAAGTGTGGAAAGTCTTTCCTAATCCCCCCACAAGGCCAGAGCATTTGCGTCCAACAGCTGTTGTTCAAAGCAAGGACTGGACTGCTTCCACAACGGATCTGGGTATCTATGGATTAAAAACACGTGGTAACAGTTTGATACCATCTATTTGTTGCAAAAGGATGTGCGTTTCTGAAAAATGGCGGGGAACTTTAATTGGAGCGGAGTTGCATAATGTTCTAAACCCAATAATAAACCTACCATATGGGGACAGTTTACACCACCCATTTCTGGAAAAATATTTCAGGGATGGTATGGTCATGTTGTACCTGTTGGGATGCAACCCCTGCAGATGTTGAGTTTCCCTGATTTGAGGAGAACAATATTGATATGATAAAATTGTCTTAATTTCTCTTCATGCTTCATAAAGGATACCAGCAAAACTTGAAGGTGTCGTAGAATCATAAATCATTGTACCATATTCAAGAGATATCCTTGGGTTACTCTCCCCACAGCAGATCTTCACTATGCATATCGGGATCGCCAACAGCACCAGGAGCTCCAAGTTGCACCGGTTGAAATCGCTGAGTTGCTTGGAAGGGATCCAGGGCTAACATAGCCGTGGTATAGATGGCCCATAGAAATAGATGGTTTACCTATTAAAAAATGTGATTTGTCCATGGCTATGTTAGTCATAACCAGTTGGTAGAATATGATGTTTTATATCTGGCGTTGCCGTGTTACGATCCAATTTCATGAATCATTAAGGATGTTTTTTTTATGTGTGTTATATATGTTTGAATGCATATGCTAGCTGGTTTGATATATGTAGGTTGGGTCCCGTTTGTTTGGGTTGATCTATCCATTTTGGCATCCAAGAACAATATAGTCCATACAGAAAATGTGGGTTGATATCTATCGAGCTTTCATGACTTTCATATTACCCGTGAAACATATCTCTTGAGCCTAGCAAAATACACAAACATATACACATAAATGCTCTACCGAAACAAAGAACATATATGCGGCATATCATGGTCTTCGAAATTCTTAGAACTGCAATAACCATGAATAATTATAACTATAGTTATATAGTCTCTGTTGAACTATAGCTAACTAACTATCTCTAACTGCATAGAAAACTGCTTTTTGACTCAACAGACACTGCTGCTGAGACCCTGCCCAACTCCAGCATCCAAGGCTGACCCCGGCAGCCGTCAAATCCGCAGCCCTGTCCACAGCCTTCGCACTGCTGGCGGAGCCTGTGGGGAAACTCAGGTGGCGAGGGAACAGATGGAAAAACGATGGGAAGATGTGGAAAACATGTCGGGTATGGATCAATACCCTCTGGTAATTTAACATAGCTATTGAAAATGACCGTTTTTAATGGGAAAACTCACTATAAATGGTCATTTTCAATAGCTATGTTAGTTTACCAGAGGGTACCTATTAATACCATTTTTAGTGGGATGAACGTCCATAAATCCCAGCTATTTTGATGTGAACTACAGGGGTACCAGGGTTTTGACACACTGCCATGTGGGAAAATGTAGGAAAACTATGGGAAAACTATAGGAAAACATGTGGGGAACTGGGAACATATGAATGACGCAGACCCAAAATGGTGACTTGGCGATACTCAACTGACAAAAAAACAATGGTGGTAAAATTGGGATATTATTATTATGGGGATATTGATATATGTGCTCAAGTTATATACCCCATGAAATCATGCCATGAACTAGTTCGATATATGTACCATCAACCACATTTGACCTAGTGAGCAGCGTTCTAAATTCCCCTTAACATCCCTTTGTTTAGTATTGGGCTGGCATCAATTCCATCAAGTCGTAAGACTTTGCCTGGGTTTGATCAGCGACAGGTTTGACGTACGCGTCGGTCAGAAACATTTTGCCGTAAGCCACCATGTTGGGCCATGAGAGCTGGGGTTTAAATAAGATGGTGTGATTCATTTGGTGCACGTTATGATACGTTATGAATGTTGAAGATGATGCCATGGTATAGGGACAGCAAGTCAGAATGAATAGCACTTTTCTTCACGGCATTGATTTATGAGATCGGAATTTAAATGGGTAAAATCCTCCATGAAAAGCGGTGCATCCTCCAGTAAACTAACATAGCTATAGGAAATCAACTTACCCATTTCCATAGCTATGTTAGTTTACCAGAGGGTATCTCCATTTTTTAACGGTGAGATCGTCCAGTGACGTCCTCCGGTTTCTCGTTTCGCTGGTGAGTTTCCACGTTGAGGCCTTCGCTGCAGAGCCGGGGAGCTATGACATCAGGCAGTGACA